GATCTAACTGAGCAACTGGTATACCTGTGTCTGCAGTAGGCTCAAAAATCTCAACCTGGCTGTTCAAAGACCACTGAGCTGGTAGCTGCTGTACTGGTGGTCTGTGCCTGACCGACCTTTTCACCCTGCCTCTGGTAAAGGAACACTGATTGTCTTTGAACTGAATCTCTGACCCGACAAAGTCTATCAACACAAGTTCGGTGTACCCGGGGGATATTGGAGCCCTCTGAAGCTATGGTTCCCAGACTACCTAGTACAAGAGAAAACATGCAGCATCTCAACCCGATTTCACGATAACCCGTATGAGCAGAGCTGAATGACTGTGCCTCCTACAGAATTCTGCCCAAAATTCTGCCCGTAAACTGATACCCTCAGGTGAACTGAATCCCAAAGTACTGAACTGGTGCCCGCAGGCCTGATGCCCAAACTACTAAACTGGTGCCCGCAGGCCTGATGTCCAAACTTGTAGACTGATACATGCATTCCTATAGAGACGCACTCTAAAAGCACATAGCAGACAAGTGAGAGCCAAAACACCCCTATGTTGGGGTAGGGTTTCCCTGTCCTATTTTGTCAGGAGCTAGGGTTTCACTACGCACGCAGCGGTTTCAAACAACCTAAATCGGGTAAGCAACCTGTCCTAGCTTGGAATGGTCACTATGGATTCCAAATATGCACTAGGTCGAATGGTCAAAAAGGGTGCCCCGGTAAAATCGGGGTTTGTGTTCCCATACTGGCAGAGCCCATAACCGGTCAGCCTTGTGGTCATGCCTTGACAAGACAAGCCTCCGGCAAACCGTTCAGGAATAGCAAATGGCAAACACGGTGTCCTAGGCGCACCAATGCACATACAATGCAAAGAAACACACAAGTGTAGTCAAAATAAGATATCATGAGTTCGAGTCAAGTTCTCTAACTCCCCAGCAGAGTCGCCAGAAACTGTAGACGTCCCCGAACGCCCTGGGAGGGTGAGTCCCGTTCCGTTCGTATTGGGGTCACTACATCTCGGACTCTCAAATTGTCACGGTTCTAAATCTGAACCAAAGAGTCCAAATCTGGCAAATCGTTTTGAGAAAATAGATTTTGAAAGAAGTGCCAAACATGGACTGCTTTGCCAGATACAGAGTCGCCACCTAAATGTTTTATTTTGGGGAAATTTAGGAAACCCTGACTCGTTTGCCTAAGGCCACGTGTCCGTGATCACCAAAGTTGCCTCGGCTCGGGAACTTGGGTACGATTGGGGAAGGTCACTTCGTGAGCACCCCCGCTCGCCCGATCAAAGATCGGCCTCTAAGAACCATGATATCTATTTTTGAAAACATTATGCGTTCTTATTCCGGTTATTAGCCTAGATTTACTATGTGATGCGCACAGCATACAAGTATAGACTGGGTCACCTGAATTGGAACAAAACATTTCATTTGAAAATGGTTTGATGGTGCTACCCGCAAGTAGGCTAAGACATGGATTTTCCACCCTCGGGTGGGCTTAGAAAAACATGATTTTGCCACTATCTAGTGGGCTTAAAACTTACAGTGAATGAATTGTTCCAATCCAAATAACCCAACCTTCACCCACAGGCATTCAGGAAGTTATATCACATAAGCACATAGTCTCATGGTAAGCATGCTATCATGGCAGTCACTCACACACATGCAAGGATGCTAAAGCATAAAACTTACCGAGTACTCCAAGCCAAAACAGAAGCTAATTAGAAATCCATGCATGATCCTAACTATACAGAAATGCCTAATGCAACACATGCAAAAAAGCAACTATAGCAGGCTCGACTATTCTAAACATGGCATATGAAATGCTACAGCTAACATGTATTCAACTTAGAATTGAAAATACAATGCAGTTAGTATGATGCGCCGAGCCCGGTGCATGCAAAACAGATGAATGAATGCAAACATGCTAT